TACTTTTTACATATCATAACATCATTTTTTAGGTACGAAATGATAAATATCAAAGTCTAAATTCTTAATTATTATACTTTAACATTTTAGACATTTACATAGCGAATATTACTGTTTGAAATAGTATTTTCTTTCATGTATAGAATAAATTGTAACGTTTAAATGGTAAATATTATAAAGTGAATAATAAAATCACGATTTTACTGTTTGAAATGGTAATTTTTAGCAGTTGATCATTACTTATTATAAATCGACTGTTATTTATTACAGTTTACTTTTTTCCGTGTAAGCATGAATATATTAAAACAATTTCTAATCAAGTCTACGGAATAGAATTATACAGAATGAGAAACAAAAATTCTTTTGGTACTTTTGGTGAATAAAACGACACGAAAATTATTATTATTAATATTTTATTTAATGTATACTTTATTTAATTATTTATTATGTAATTTTCATTATGTTATTATTATTTTTTTTTTATCATTATTATTATTATTATTCTTATTATTATTATTATATCTACATGCCACAAGTAATATCATACTCGGTAACGGCTGCTTGAATATGAGCATCCAGTGGGTTACTTTCATCGACGCCTGGATGGTGATAACCATTGAGAAAATGACAAGTGCCTGGTTCACTTGATGGAATTTCTTTCGGAAGATTATCTCGAGATCTTTTTTCTAGGATAAATCCTGGTGTTTTGATGAGATGTCTGAAAATATTTATTGTACATTAATCATTACATCATTTATATCTTTATATTCTCATCAATAATCATCAGTAGCATAGAAAATTTTTTTAATTTAATAAAAATCGGAATATAAGACTTACTCATAAGTTGTTGGACTGACATTAACCCGCAACGGTTCACTAGTTGATTCAAATTTGTTAGCAATAGTGACGTTGTGTCCAAAGAGACAATATCTTGGCATCTTTTTACCAACTACTCCAGCTAGCACCATCCCAGTATGAATTCCAATTCTCATCTGTCATAAAATTATCAAGTAATAATTTGAAAACTTTTATTTCTCATTAAGTATTTTTTTTTATAAACTAATTGATAAATATTAAAAGACCATTTTTTATAAGAGTTTTTAATTTAGAATCACAATAAAAAATTTTGTAAACTCAATTTTTTACATAAACAAACTTTTTACACAGATATGGATTCAAAATATAAATTTATAAATTTTAGATGATTTTAATAATTTTTGTCTATATATTTTAAATGACGTGAAAAGTTTTGTCAAAAAGTCTAAATCATCGAATTTAAATGCAAAAAACCTAGATTCGATTCCAGGCCTCGGTAATTTTTTACTACGAAATTTTTTCAGAATATTGAATATCAAAAATTAGCAATAATATTTATAAATTAATGATTTAACAATATGTTAATTAATCTTGAAGAAGTTTTTTTTTGATAAGTTAATAATAAAAAATGCTAAAATTTTAGTGATAAATTTTAAAGGGACTAATAATTGATAATTTTCAATACTCTACCTAATGATTGCAAGCTAATATATAATATCTAATAGCAACTTCCTGAGATGTAAAATGGAGCAGTTTGATAAGACATATTAATTAACCGACATCACACATATACATCTTATGTGTGTATGATAAACCTTAATTAATCTATTAGCAGCATGGGAAGCTGAGAAGTTTGGCCCCAGGCGAAATATGTCAACCTGGTTTGTTTTTAAAATAAAATGAAAAGCTCTTTTTCCAGTATATTATTACAGCTCAGTTAATCGATTTTCTCAACAAATGCCAATATCTTATATTATAAACGGATTTAATATTAAAATCGGGTGGCTGTGATAATTGAAATAGATAGTGGCATATACTGAATTATAAAATATCCGGTTAATTTATTTATATCAAGCCTTTAGCAATAGGTATAGTATGAAAATCAATCGTTGATCGCACCATTCCCGACGTCAATTATTTCTCCCTCGACACATTAGTGTCATGAGACTTGTGAAACAGTAGCCTTGCCAAGAGTACTAAATTATTCATTTTCATAACGCATCATTTTATTACTGCTCTGAGATCTGTATACGGCGGAAAATAATTGTTGACTTTTTATTTTATAAAAAAAAAATTATTTGGTTCCAACCGAGATTCGAACTCACGTCCATTGAAGTAATGCTAATTGATGGATTAAAGTGGAAACGGATAAAATTTATTATTGTCAATTATTGAATAAATTAATTTCCAAATATTTCGCGGTATTTCCCTTACTCAACTCAGTTTCAGCTGCATGTTATTATAGCGCAGAAACGCATTAGGAACAAAACTTACCGTACATATTTTATGTATAATAACAAAGAAAACACCTGCTTTGTTTTTTTTTTAATTATAATTAAACGGTACCGAGTTATATAGCCATTTAAGATAATAAATTCTCAAAGAGACAAAACAAGTCTATAAAGAACAAGACATAAATAATGGATTTTTTGTAAAGTTATCGTGTTTCCAAGCTATGAACATTTTTCTACTGTTTGACGGGAACAAATTTTTAGTTTATTTTAATGTCTTACTCGTTCCTATTGCACTAAGTAAATCTTTGAAAATTGAAGAATTAATTTTGATTGAAATATCTGTTTGATAGTACACAAGTTATGTTGGAGCCTTTGTACTAACAAGAGTATAATAATAAAAATAGTCGTAGAAAGGAGGCTAAAAAATATTTCGATCGTAGAATACTCTAATGCTATTTGTATTGTGTGTCGTGCAAAAAACTTTATCAAGTAATACCGACTTTTTTGTCTTAAGGATATTTTGTCCGAGGATATTTTGTCGGGATTATTTTGCCCGCAGATATAGAGTCATAGAATCAATAGATAGATTTCAATGAAATCTAACTAAAACAGTTAAAGAGAGGAGGCAATAAAATTTTTTCGATCCTCGAGTACTATCTAATACTTCGCATTATGAGTCATACAGAACTCTCCGCGGGATTCGAACTCTGAACTTCACACACCGCTCATTCTAAATGATCTTAGTCTCAGAATAATTGAAGTATTTACAAAGTTTAATATAATAACCAAGTACAAATAACAATTATCTCAACTCCCTCTTAAATATTTAATACTACAAATAAACGGAAAAAGTGAATATATAGTCGCGCGTGAATCTCAAGTTAAATTATAAATAAATAGAATGTAAGTTGAAGTTAAACAAGAGGTATTCTTGTTTAAGTTCCTGATAATCCCGTATAAATTTACGCTAAGCCGATTACTTATTTATACAGCGAATTCAATTTATGAGCTTTATTGTTACATTATTGAAATGATAGTCGAATTATATTAATATAACTGAAACGGCTATTACTTCTATCCTATCCTATCCAATTTATTTAAAAAGGCACACTCCACACTAACCTTACGCATTTTAAGTCCATTAAAAGTTCAAGTGTTCAATAATTGTCTGGCTTTAGAATAAATTTTAATGAGCAGTCAGCGCTTTTCCGTTCTATTCCAATAGATTCTCAAAAGATATCTGGACTCTATTTTATGTGTATCTATCGATGGAATACGTACCTTAATGGGTTTTCCTTCGTGTGTCAAATGCTTGGAACATGTCTGGATCATTTTTAAACCCATCCAGGCTATTTGTTGCGCATGTGTGCTCGTATTTCTGTGTAAACCGCAAGCGACACAGTAAGCATCCCCTATTGTTTCGACCTGGAATTATCACATTAGAATTAATAATTAATCTTCCAACGTGGTTAGAATTAATTACTAAGTCACCATCTATCATTTTACTCATCAATACGGGTCATCTAGAATAAAATCAGGGAACTTCTGTATTAACAACAGAAAAACAATAATGATTCTTATGTTGAATAAGAAACTGATACCGACAACAAACAGTGAAATACTGATGTTTTATAACTTGGAAATCTCTGTTGCGATTATGACAATAATTATTGGTGTAATTATATTTAAAAATAGCACATTAACACGAAAATGTAATTTAAATGAAAGCAATAGGTTAATATAACAAATTTATTATTTTTTTTTTTCAGGATCGTGAGAGATGGAAATTATAATAAGCCCGCTAATAACCAAGCGCAACATTTACTCGTCAAGAGTTCTTTAATTTTATAGCAGTATGATATCCTTTTGGCTGTTTTCACCCGTCAACGCTTGCTGGTTGCCTGGTAATTTATACAGTTTGTGAGAGAGTTTAAGAATTTAATATCATCTTGCTTTACCGCTTAAACCTTAAATTAAATTCTTTCGTCACATGTTTTTTTAATGTCATAAATTATGTAATATCATTTTCATTTTTAGGTACCGAGGACTTACGAGATAACTTTTAATTATTTTCAATGTTTAAATATTTCATTGGGTGTGTAAAAAAGTTACTCCATGAATGCTGAAGATTCTGTGCTTTTACCAACAATTGTTTTTGGATTTTAAGCACACATTTATTTCTACAAGAGCTTTTAAATTAGATGCTACGTAAGTTTCATTTTTCTTGAAGACTTTTATGATTTAAAATTAGAAATATTCAGGGTTGTGTAATTGTTTTTTTAAATTAAATGTAATTAATTTTTTTCTAAGAATTTTATAATTAACTATACTCACATTTTACTTTAATACAATCTTAAGTTTTTGATGATTAAATGTGAGCTTGAAAATATATAGTTGGGCAGATCCATTAATTCTCGACGAAAGTGTGCGCACTCAGGTCCGCGATTTTGATGCCGATTTTTTCCTCAAAAGTACACCTTAAAAAAAGACGATCCTGAAAATTTGGATCCGACATAATCAAATCCGGTCGCAGGAGAATTTTTCGAATTTTTAAAAAAGTTGATTTATCACTGATTTTCTAATATTTGTATCTCAGCTTCTATATAACTTAAAGACTTCTGCCCAGCGGCGTTTTTTTCAGTAGACTCTTTACTTTTAAGAAAAAAATAAGTATTTGGTTTAAACTCATATAGGGCTTAGCTGACAGCCTCTAACTAACGAACTGTTTTGGTTAAATTTTACCTATTTGTTATACACTAGTACAAGTACAGTATTTGAAGTTGAGGATTGACCAGCAGATAATGTCTTCTATTGGGGTATACTTTAGTAGAATCTATGCAATTTTTACTTGATTGCTTATATTAAGTAAAGTTATAGCCATCTGAAACCAATCAAATTTAAAAAAATTGCAGTTTTCAGATGGCTAGAACTTTTTTCTCGGAACTTCAATTTCCTTCAAACTTTCAGGAAAGTTGCTTTATTATGTTCCTAAAAAGCCCTGAAAATTTAGGATAGGGAATCGAGCTTGTATTCAAGTTATGAATTTTTTAATATTGTTAAAATTGTGTTAAATTTAATAAGGAATTCCTTAATACCCTTGTAGGAAAAAAATTATATACAACGGGGCCTGTCTTGGCACAATACTGGGTTGCCCAGACTCGGCCGAACAATACTGGCCCACGACTGGACCACTACTCAGCTGACAAGTCTTGGTTTGCCAGTCTTGGACCAAGACCCAGCCAATATTCAACTGATAAGCCTTGGTTTGCCAGTCTTAAACCAAGACCCAGCCAATATTTAATTGACAAGTCTTGTTAAACTACTCTTGTACCAAGATCTAGCCAATGTCTATGTAACAAGTCTTGGTTTGCCAGCCTTGATTGATTCAAGAGTTAACCAATATTTAATTAACAAGGCTTCATGAGCACACCTCCTTCAAACTACCTCTTTTTACTACAAGCTACTTAGAGAAATCTTTTTTGGTAACTGTAATAAAGCTTTGGGAAGAACTCCCACGCGAAATTGTAAATTCGAGTAGCTTACAAGTCTTCAAAAAAGAAGTATTTAATTACTTATTAAATCTTGATAATTGAAACAAACTCTAATAAATAACAAATTTAAATTAATTCATTGAAAATTAAAGATTAAAATAAGGATGAAGTAATTGCAATTCGCAAAATTATTATGCTGAGTTATCATCGAATCTGATGACATTAAAATTCTATATTTTAAAATTATTATTTTTATATATTAAGTTTCAAGTTTAATATGATTTTCTTTTTTACCTTGTTTACATATGAATAAATTAAATTAATTATTGTGCAATATTATATTATATTATGTACTCACAGAAATTACTCTCTTGTAAAAACTGTATGTACTATTTAATTGACATTGCCATTTGGCCTGTGCCTTGGCATTAAATAAACAAAATCTAAATCTAAATCTAATGTAGATATTTATTGTTTAATGAATATTTGTTAGCAAATGCTTAAATTGAAAATTTATTATTTAACAAAAACAATTACATATCGTCAAGATTAATATGGTCTCAAAAAAATTAAAATATAATAATTTACAATGGAGTTTTCAGTATTGATAATTTTAAACATTAAAATTTATAACAAAATATTAAAAGTATACAAAACGATGTATAATTACTAAAGTAATATAAAGACTTGACTTTTGTATTTTTTTAAATTAATAAACATTTGTGAAAAATCGGTTATTTTCATCAAAACACAATATTAAATAACATAAATTGTGAAAATAATAAACCGTCACACTTTGTCAGCATATAGAGTTAGCTTATATGAATGATGAGATGTAAATCAACTTATCGGTCGTACGGCGTAGGGGTTAGTTATCGGTCTAGTAAGCGCGCGGCTCGGGTTCGAATCTCGGTTAGGGCGAATGCAATTTTCACTTTATTTTCATAATTAATAAAAATTAGGTTTAAATAAAGAGTCAAAGGGACTAAACATTCGTTAGCCTTGCATAAAAATTAAAATAAAAAAAAATTACAAAGAAAAAATTTCTTTTTATCACTTTTTATCAAATGGCATGGGCCAGACTTGAATAGTAACTGTGGCCCAGTCCTGGTAACCAGGCATTGGTCAGACTCGAAAATCGGTATTGACCCAATACTAAAATTCAGTCTTGGCACAATACTTATTTTCAGTCTTGGCACAATACTTATTTTCAGTCTTGGCGCAATACTTATTTTCAGTCTTGGCACAGTACTGATATTCAGTCTTGGCAGGAAGTTATCATTTGTATGCTTAGACGGATTTCAAGCTTGCCCCACAGTTAATGAGCATTGTGCCAAGCCTTGGCTAAGCTCGGGCCGATTGTTCTTTCCTCTAAGGGTAGTCAGTCTTCACTGAAGCGTATAAAATAATAATAACCGAATGAAACAAAAATAATTTTAGGAACATAATCTATAGTTATTTGTATTTTGTATTCTAATATTACGTAAAAGTATAAAAAAATATAAAGGAAATGACTTTTGTAGAAAATTTTAAAAATTTTTATTTATAAATTAAGTTTAACTACTTTACAATCTTTGTCGGAAGAAGTCACTCTTACTTTTAAAGAATTGTCATTGATTGGTGTAAAAGAATGGCAAATTCGAGTGTCCTTGATGGTTTTCACAGAATCAAATCATTTTTTCGATTTTTTATGATGTTTTTGAACTTTAGCATCAGATTCCCATATTGCTCTGAAAATATAAGGTTCAAAGTAGATTGCAATGCTTACATGAGCGTATGATAACATTGGTACCTCAGTCACGCCACGAAGCGGATAAATTGAGTAACAGATTAGCCCGAGTGCGACTTTTGATACAAATTCAAACAATATAAGAACGATAGCGTTTTTGAGGGTAAAATGTCTACTTTAGACGCTACTCAAATGATTACTGACAGCAGCTATATCTATGTATAAAAAATATTAATATTTCACTTGTCAATAAAGTATGAATAATTCGATAGATATGTAAGAAATTATCAGCAAATATTATATTCAACAACGCAATTTTGGCAATATTGAAAAATTCATAACTTGAATACAAGCTCGATTCCCTAGCCCAAATTTTCAGGGCTTTTTAGGAACATAATAAAGCAACTTTCCTGAAAGTTTGAAGGAAATCGAAGTTTCGAGAAAAAAGTTCAAGCCATCTGAAAACTGCAATTTTTTTAAATTTGATTGGTTTCAGATGGCTATAACTTTACTTAATAGAAGCAATCAAGTAAAAATTGCATAGATTCTACTGAAGTATACCCCAATAGAAGACATTATCTGCTGGTCGATCCTCAACTTCAAACACTGTACTTGTACTAGTGTATAACAAATAGGTAAAATTTAACCAAAACAGTTCGTTAGTTAGAGGCTGTCAGCTAAGCCCTATATGAGTTTAGACCAAATACTTATTTTTTTCTTAAAAGTAAAGAGTCTACTGAGAAAAATGCCGCTGAGCAGAAGTCTTCAAGTTATATAGAAGCTGAGATACAAATATTAGAAAATCAGTGAAAAATCGACTTTTTTAAAAATTCAAAAAATTCTCCAGCGGCCGGATTTGATTATATCGGGTCCAAATTTTCAGGATCGTCTTCTTTTAAGGTGTACTTTTGAGGAAAAAATCGGCATCAAAATCGCAGACCTGAGTGCGCACATTTTCGTCGTGAATTAATGGTTCTGCCCAGATATAATTTTAAATGACACTGAAATGTGTAGACACTTCATCATTTTTGGATTTTATTTAGAACAACAAATTATATTTAGTTTTCAACAATTTTTATCGCATAATTTTATATTAATTTCTTTTTTTTAATGAGTAAATTACTTATAAATATTTAAAGAATTATTAAACGTCTGACACAATCATGCTCATAATTTCATTATCATTAAGGTAAAAGCCCCAATAGATGATCATGTACCAGTATATGATCACTCTATGTATTTGTATACCTATATTTGTGAATATAGATTACCTTTACCTTAATTAAAATATGAATCTTATAAAAAAATTAAGATATATCTATATATAGGTACATACACTTAACCTTTCATACAAATTTTTTAACAATTTAAAATATTTAAAGAAGAAATTGTTTATCAGAGTTTTAAAATTAATATTATACTAAAAAATTATCAAATCAAAATCTTATGTTAAATTAATATTTAGGCAAGGACGAAAGTACCAAATTAATTGATGGTCTTGAACTTTAATTTGAATCCCGGTTAAAATTAACGTAATAACAATAACAATAATCTCTGAACGCCAATGTTTTAAGATGACCCGGAAAATCCTTTATGATAATAGAGCTTGCGCTCCTTTGTTAAGGTATGCGAGAAAATTCACCGAGCTTATTAAACTAAAAATTCTGTGATTAAGGACCGGAAAATAAATCTTTCATGCTTTTAGTATATTACCAAAGTAAAAAGTAATTAAGAAATAAAATTGATGTGATTACAGTAATAGTTATGGTTACTTTTGATATCAATTTTCTTATTCCTTAAAAGCATACAGGATAGTTGATTAATATAATGGTAGATTACTACTACTATACCTTATAGACATCCAATTGACCGCAATACTGATCAAAACGTTCGTATAGATTCTGTAGCATATTGATAACCATCATTGGTGTGGCGGTGGAGCATATTGCGGTGAATCCTACTATATCACTGAAGAGCATCGTAACATCCGGGTAGGTCTTTGCCTCGATCGTTTCGCCTATGATAAAAAATAATGTCACCACATCTTATTTCTTTTATCCACTATAAAATTTCTATTTTATTCAATTTCGTTATTTTTTTTTACACAATGAAACAAAAAATTCAAAATAAAAAAAAGCAATATGATATATTTAAAAACTTTGAAGTTTTTTGCTTTTATCTTATCCATTTTCATTATTTTATTATTTTTATTATTGCAATTCAACAGTTATTGTTTTTTGAAGAGTACTTGATATTCTCAAGTGACTAACGATTATTTCCATAATCTCCGACTCTTTTATAATCTCGGGTAAATATTTAGTGGCGTACAAATCCAAAAGGGAGTATTGAAATTTCCGATAATACTGTTGATATTGAACACCCCCAGTCTATGCTCAATGTTCAATGTTCAGTATTAGAATAAGAACAAGGGAAATGAATTCTGAATTTGAATAATTAATAAAGCTATAAATATCCCGAAATTGATTTCTTCTGTTATCAAAATCAAATACTTTGCGTGATTTTGATCACAGTAAATTTTATTTTCATTTTTAGGTAGATTTCATAGAAATCAATCTTTTGCATTGGTCCTCATGTCGGAATTTACTCGGAATTTTGTTGTAATATCACTTAACTAGTCGAGTAAAGCTCAAAAATAACGTTAGTTAAAAAATATATATATATATATATATATGTAATATAACTCGGGATGTTGCCGCGATTGTGTCTACAGTTCTTGACGGATCTAGATGAAATTTGTTACCCATATTCTTTGGATAATAACCTTGAATGAGTTCGAAGATGAGCAAAATCCATCGATAAGTTTAGAAATAGCAGCTCTTCAAAATTATCAAAATAGTGAAAATCACGTTTTTGGTGACTTCATTAATGTGTAACTTGGTTGAAAAGAGATGGCTAATTTTTGATGAATTCATGTAAAAGCTCATGAAATTGCCTTTAATTTGACATATATAACATTGACATTTTGACCATTTTTAGTTATTTTATCAAAGTTAAGAGTTCGACTGAACCATTTTTAGGCAATGTGTAGTGCAGCCGACTTATGAATGTTATTCTGTCGAGAATTCGTAACAGATCCCAATGAAATTTAGTATACAAATTCCTTTGACAATTAGCTTGCATGAGCCTTAAAATGAGCGAAATCCTTCGATTAGTTCAGAAATAGAAGCTCTTCAAAATGATCAAAATAGGAGAAATTACGTTTTCGGTGACTTCATTTATGTATAACTTTTAATAGCAAAAAGCTGGCTAATTTTTAATAAATTTACGTGAAAACTCATAAAAACACTTCTAATTTGACGTATATAACGCTAACTTTTCGACCATTATTAGTTATTTTATCAAAGTTAAGAGTTCAATTGAACCATTTTCAGGCAATGTGTAATACAACCTATCCATGTCAAATGAAAGTTATTGATACAAGACGATAATTCATTCTATGAAATCTACCTTCCATTTCGGGTATGGCCGAATGGCGTCTTTTTTATTTTTAAATCCGATGGCTAGTCTAGATTGACGAAAAAACGGTTTTTGTTGAATGAAAAATTAATTCATTGCCAAGCTATGGGTTACTTTGTTTTTTTGCTAATCTCTCGAAGCGTCAGACCGTCGAAAAACAGAGGAAGGTCTTTGTCATTCGAGGAGTTAAATAACACAAGGTGCGAATGAATGAAGAAAAATAACTTGTCGACCGTAAATGACCACCCTGATAAAAAAAAAGTATTGAGACAAAGAAAAAAGTATTGAAAAGTATTGGTTTTCTAGTCAATCCAATACTTTTCAATATTTTTTTCTTTGTCTCAATACTTTTTTTTATTCAGGGCATGCTGGGCCAGTATTTTTACTTTATTTAGGACATTAATTTTCCAGTATTTTTTTTTTTTTACTTAAAACTGTTTGATCTAATGAAAAAAAAGTACTTGACAATTTTATTTTTTAGACTTTTCAAAGTTTATCGGACTATCAATTATTCAAAAATTATTGATCTTTAGCAAAATGTAAAAAAAAGAATATATTTTTTTTATTAATACTCGAGTAAATTTTTTAATCAAATTGAAGCTCAAGTCGGCTTCAATGAATTTTTCATCAATCTGCTATGCAGAGAAAAAAGTGAAAATGGTTTTTAGAGATTAAAAATAGCTCTCGGGGATTAGAATAAAAATGAAATAAAAATAAAATACATGTTATGTATAAGATAATATACATGAAAGAAAAAATAATTACGTACCGAGCCAAAGTCGTTTAGCAATATCAGGTGGAAATATAAGATGTAGTAAACTAACATTTTTTTCCCTCTCAGCGTCGACAGCACGGTTAGCCTCCTCAATAGAACTTTTCAATTTGTCCATACGTCGTCTCAACCCGTCCTGGTAGAGGACAAAAAGAAAGAAGTATCTATAGAAAGTTGTGATATTAAATATGAAAATGTTACCGAGATAATACGTCTGTATAAGTAAATCCCTATTCATATGACATTCAATAAAAATCTATTTTATTAAATTTTTTATTCAATAAAAAAGACACTTTCAATTGTACGGATATGGACAGAAGAGTGTTTTGTATATAGCTATTTATTACACTATACATGCCTGTAACAATGTGACAACCGTGATATAATATAAATGTATATATTTATAGATGGATAAATTGATATAATATGGTTTGAATGATAGGGATTACGTTAGTCACCTGAGCCCTAGCTTGTTCGCCAACTAAAATGACGTCCCTTGTGGCGTCATGAAGCGGAATGTCCGAAATAAATAGACCTCGTCCTGTGAGACCGTCCAGACCATTGAGAAACGGCGAACTGACGAATAAAATTGATTCTGATTCTGAACAGAACACCATTTGACCCTTCAATTCCAGTCCCTGGGTCCAGAAATAGAAAATTATTACATGGCTTTTTTTTTTTTCTATTTTTAAGAGATTTAAGTGCTGGTTTAACATGCAATTTCAATTTTATCATTTAGTTATTTTATTTTTACTAGTCATTTTTTTTATCTTGTTTTTACGCATTTAGAAAGCCGAAAAGAGCGAATTTTTTTAAATATTATTTCTGAAGAGGCTTTTTATTGATCAAAATATAAAAATGGATATACATATAATAGTTAATTTAAACTTATTAATAGTGATAAGTTCTTTTATTTTAACAAATAATGGTTTGTCTAGCTCCTGTAGACGATCTTCGAAAGTTCCTCCAATAAAAAGTGTCTGCAGTGAGCACAATATCTTTACTTTGAAGAATCGAAATTTACAGTCCTAAAAAATTCCGCGAACATAAGATATTATCTAGTGATTAATTGAAAGAATGATAAAAATATCAATTTTTAACAAAATTGCGGCTTGATAAAAAATATCATCGATTTTCGATAAAAATTTTATCCTCAAATTGTTTATAAAAATATAAAATATTTATCTTAATTATTAATTCTTTACATATATTCTTATAATTTTTTAAATACTTGTCCGATTGACATTACATTTTCTATGCATATATTTGAAAATATTTACATCACAATAGTAAAATTAAAAAAATTTTTTTTTAATTTTAAGTGAGTATAATCTCTTAATAAAGGTTTCAGATAATATTTCTTCTAAATCTGATTTAAATATTGCAAAAAAATTCTTGATAAAAGAGAAATAATAAATTGCAAATAAATTATAATGATAATAAAGTACAACAATAAAAAGTAATAGGTTAAAAATAAATAGCGAGGCTTTTAACAAAACATTACCAAGCATGCCAGAATAATGACTATAATCTAGCATCATCATTATCTGTAATCTCCATAAACGGTATCGACTCACCTCAGCCGGAAATTTATCAGCACCCGGTGGCTTCTGCAGCGCCAATACAAAGGGTGTATTCGCACGTTTTAAAATCTCATGAAATGTAAGTGTAACACCACGAGGTCGCGTGAATACAAAATACGTCGATATTTCACGACCAAGTCTATTGAGATTGTGACCGAAGATGCGCATGAATCCGACCCCAAGTTGCACTATTTCAAGCTTTCGATCCACAACAAAATGCCAGGGAAATGCTTTGCAAAAACTCGCAACTCCCATCCGTAGATCAACTGCTTTTTCGGACAATCTTCGGGTTTCTGGAGCTACGACTTCACTAGAATCGTCACGTGTTGTGCCCATGTACTCGTAGCGCTCTGGTGTGATTCGATACCTGCCATCAAAATTTATAATATTTGAACATAACATCGAAAACTATAAAATTCATTTTTTAAATAAGAAATCAAAATTCTGAGTTAAATATTGAAGATACAAAAAAATCATAACAGACTTTTTTGTTGAAAAATTTCATTTTTTACAAAACACGATCTTTAATTTTTTTGCATCCTTCTTCCTTTCCCTGAAATTTAAGGTTTAACCCTAGACTGATCAACAAACACGACCTAACGACTTTGGTCGAGTGATGACGGATTTGCCGCAATGCTTTTAGAGCGTACAGTGTTGCCAGTTCATACACGTTTGACAGACAGAGACTAGAGGTGTTTTCGGCAACGCCGCGGACAAAAAACTACTTACGACTCTGGTCAAGCGATGAGGAAAGCTCCGCAAATTTTTTTAAGAAATTTTTTTTCAGCAATTTAACGTTTTCGAAGATGTTTGAAAAAATTATTATGATATTCTAAAATCTTCAAGGAACAAAGTCAAATTTTTTTGAACAATTTTAGTAAATATTGAAGATGTAATAAACAAAATATAATTGAGCGCGGCGTCACACTCATAGGGTGACCAGTCTAGGGTTAATTTAAAAAATGAAGTTATCCACATTGTTCCTAGTTTTCAAAAGTTTAAAGTTAAAATTCTGAGTTAAATATTGCAGATACAGAAAAATCATGTGAAATCTTTTTTATAGGAAATTTTATTTTTTTCAAAAAAGGTCTATTGTGTGGAATATCTTATATTTTAGATGATATTTGAATCTAGAAGTTATAAGAAAGTTTCCTTTTAAGGTAGTACCCTCGCGACTTCCGTCGTCAAAAGTTTATGCTATAGAGTGTACGGTACATATACTTGAGAGTCACTATTGACAAGCCTAAAACTTTTTGCTGTTTATGTACTTATTTTAGCCAATCACGAACGAGAAACTGATCGTTTGAAAAGTCTGGCAACACTGCGTGAGCGTTGAGATATTTTATAGTGGTTATACTGTATATAGTGTTTTGGACTAACTGTAGATTAACCTCTGTTTTGACATATGCGTTTATTTATTTATTTACATACATTTATTCGGAAATATAATTACAATATCTGAAAAATTGACTTATAAAGGACGATTCATAAAAAAAAGTCCTTGAAAAACGACAGAAATCTGTAGCACATATGCAAATAACTATGCAAATAAATAACAAATAGAAAAAAAAATAATTGACAATGTTTTGTTTTTTCAGAAAAATCAGTAATTAAAATTTTTATGTTGATGTATTAACTGATTTTAAATTTTAGTATTTTTTTTTATTATTTCATCTGACTATTATTTTTATAACTTATGAAAGATTAATATGTATTATTATATTAAAATTGTTAACTTTTTGAATTTTTATAAATATAGAAAAATACTTCTTTTCATAAAATAATCATTGTTATTTTTTTTTTAAATAAATAAAATTATTAACTATGATGTTACACCTAACATAAATTAAACTTTTCAAATTTTTCAGCGCATGCGCGTCTCATACTTTTTTCGCGGCTCACAAAACTTGCGTTGTTGCCACAGCTTTAATAACGTATTCCCTCCTAGTCTAAAGTCTGGTAAATTTTTCATTACTTATTAATAAATATCTCTGAAACTGTGTGGTAAATATCAATGAAATTATTTTTAAAAAATTGTTTAGTTGTTAGTTAACGTTACTCTAGTTTTTTAAAAGAATCTTAAGAAAAGTTTCTGAGATATAAAAATGTTTGTAGGTAAACTTGTCGATATCCCGTATACCGCAATGTATAAGAGCGTTCAAAACTCAAACTTTGAAATTAAATATCTCTGAAACTAGATGGTCAAAAATTTTCAAATTGCGCCAATCGATGCAGAATTATATGAATATTAATCTGCCAAAATTAAAAAAAATTCCTAAGAAAACGACTCTGGCGAGGGTACTACCTTAAAAAGTTTACTTTTTCACTGTGAAATGAATAAATCAATAAATGAACAAAATAAGTATGCAAATTATTATTTTAATTAGTGTTTCACCGTCGAAGTACACTGTATTGTTTACATTGAATAAATATGCCGAGATATGAATTTTGATACATTTGTATTAAGGTAAAAGCCTTATAGTAGCTGCTCATGTATACTAATAAATGTTCACTCCATGTATTTGTATATCTATATTTGTGAATATGGATATTCGCTGGGTGCGTAAGGCATAGTGGGGGACACAAAACTGATGTCAGCGTCTGCTGCGGACAATACAGAACTAAGGGTGGCTCTTTATTACTAAAAGCTATGAAAATAACACGTGTGTTAGTTTAATTAAATAAATAAAATATAATGGGTCATCAACATTGTTGTGTAGTTGATTGTAAAAATACTAATAGAAATAGTAATTGTAAATTTTACAAATTTCCGGTTGCCAATTGGAAATTGAATCAGCGAAAAAAATGGATAGATGCTGCTAAACATCTCTCATATGTTCAGCCAGGACTAAATTTTTATTCTTTATTAAAGTTTGTGGTTGAAAAGTAATATTATTGGTAATAAATTGCAAAATTAAATAAAGAAAATAAAAATTTAAGATACATTCGTAAATATATAATTATGTTAAATAGCTATTCGTTATTTTTTATATAATTTCAGATTGTTATATATTTAATATTAATACTGATTTTTTATTTAATATTAATTTAACAATAAACACCTTGACAGATTTTAACACTCATTATAACCTAATTCAATTCAGATTTGTTTTAGTTATTGTGTTTATATTTTCCTTATTACTATTTCTAACTGACCCAAGAAAAAATTTTTACTTTAATTTACATTCTATGTAATATGTCACATTTTACATGGAAAAAAATTTTTTTCAAGTTTATTTAATTGTTTAAATAACTATTTGGCATCTAATACATGTATATTTTCTTAAAAAAGCCATCGTAAGTTGTATCGTTAGGTGGCGGTGGGGTCACGCACCCAGCGAATACAAATGCATGGAGTGAACTTGTACTGGTACATGAGCAGCTACTGGAGCTCTTACCTTACATAAATGTTTACCCTTCAAAATATTTTCGATTTTCCCAATTATTTATATATTTTATTCGCGTTATTTTTATTATCCAAGCATTCAAGTTTATATATTTCACGTATAGTATCATTTCAGATATTCAAGTCTACATATATAAATATATATAAATGTATATGATAAATATAAAATAGTATGCATGACAAAATGCCATTTGCCAACGGAAAAACATGAGCACGTATTTACAATCTATATGACTATATCTATACACATCCATACATATCTACAGTGGGAGTATCAACTGATGAAATATATATGATTTGAATTAATAAAATTTAAATTTGAAATTACTAGGCTCGCAGTACACGCGTTCAGACCATGTCAATACTCAATACTCAATATTGTGTAGAAAAAAAGCACTCATACCAACATGTACTCATAGTATTTTTACTTGGAAGGTTTTGACGCCAATACAAAATAAAATTCAATTACAAATGAAATTTAAATTTATAAACAGAAAAAAAAACCGTATCTATAGTAGCTAGTATCAGTATATCGAGCTTTATAATATTCTTGCAATGTTTTTAAAGCCAACATGATTTATACTATTCATCGTTTTAATCCTTTCTCTTTGTCAACCCGACGTTTTTTAACTTCCCGCTAAAAATCTCAGATTTTCGAAAATCGGGAAGTTATTGTTTTCACCCCGTTTTGCAAAAATCGAGTTTTCATCAGATCTCGACGTTTTAAGGTCATAGCAAGCTTCCCTGACTAGCCCCGCGGTGGTATCTGTGTGTGTGTGTGTGTGTGTTTTTGTGTGTGTGTGTATGTAATTGTCTGTCTCTTTGGTTCTGTCCAAAACAAACGCTGAGGGATTTTATCTTTCTCGTTGCATTTCACACAAAGGCGTAATTGCAATGAGTGGCTATTCTGCTGCCATATGTGAGTATGTGCATGTGTGTACTTTAATGTGTTAATACTCTGGAGGCGTTAGTTTGGTGGGAAAGGTAGACGCATGCATGTGCATGTATATATGTGTGTATGTGTGTGTGTACAGTAAAATTGGTAAATTCTCGTGGGATTGATCCCAACTCGCACACTGCTCTGTTCTCCATAACGAGTTGGCAATTATCGGACTGGCAGTAGTTCAGCGGAAACTAGCCCCCGTGTCAATGGTGCACACGATCAGGGTAATTTCGCTACTGATAATATTGAGAGCTCAGTTTAAGAGAAATAGAGATAGAGAATAGGAGGAAAAGAGAAAAGAGAAGCTAGAGGTAAATTCACTCCGACAGATCAGTTCGACGGTAGAGAAGATTGACGTAAGAGAACAAAGCGGATCGGTGTATTGTGTGTATACATTAGTGGCGAGTGAAATTCAAAGCCTTTATGATTTATGATTATGAATACCTTTGTTGGTTATAAGTTATAACTTATAACTTATAACGGGTACTTGGGTAATTTGTATCGTTTCATCTTCTTATTTTTATTGGTATAAAGTGCCTTTGAGCACGTTCTTTATATTTCATCTTTTGAGCAATCTAAGCTCTTTAATTTTATTCAATCTCTGACCTATTAACTTGTTGTTTATTTTTGTCGCTAATATTTGATATGAAAATTTTTTATCGAGTGAGAGGACATTTTTGTAGGAAGAGTAATGATAATAACGAGTATCGAATGTCGAAAATTATGAATTTTGAATTAAAGAACTTTGGCTATAATAATTTTTCGATATAATAATAAAATTAAAAGATTTATTTGCTTATTCTCAGAGTCAGTAATACAAAAAATTTTATAAAACTAAAATTATAGGGTTGATGTTATTGCTACCTGCTGTCCTAGCCTTGATTGATCTCAGGTTAATAAATTAGCATAAAATAATTACCAAAAAAAAGCATTTATTTCAAGATAAAGTGGTAAGTTAGGCTATAAGTTAACTGTAACGTCACTAAATCTAAAAATATTTACTTTTTTACTTTATGGTAATTTATAACGTGAATTTAAATAAAGAGAGCAGGTAAATACTGAAACTGTTAATTTAAAATGTCAATGTTTTCTGTTTACCAACATTTTCATGTTCTTATTCATTCATTCATTCATTCATTTATTGTTGATAAAAGATAAAATAAATAAACAGCTAAATACTTATTCCCATAACTCATAATCATTGATCAATAAATACAAGAATATCAGTACATTATAGTTTATAGTTAAAGAACAAGCGGTAAATATAGCAAAAAAACAAAGTAAAGAGGTAGTAAAAGATATTAAACAAAACAAATATATGTTTAGAGACTGCAGTAATTTAAGGTGTATCACACTTAGAGCGTTATAAAAAGAAAAACGAGTAGAATTATAAGAATCGAGACTGAGCAGTATTTCCAGGTGACTTTATTGGGTATCGTACGCCATGATTTCTTTTTAAGTATAAATGTATAGATATAAATAGAAGGGTGTAAAGCAGTATAGCAGTAACCAGCGAAAGAAAATATATATACACAGAGTGAAGTAAACCAGGAAGTAAACGCGCACGGAAATACGTTGGTGATAAAGTTGTTATGTACGATAAGCCGGGTTTCGCGAATCCAGGGCAACTTTATTTACACTGTGCAGTAGTAGCAGCAACACGACGGCTGGAAGTCGGCTGGTAGATGCCAAGAGAAGAGGAAAAGGAAGAGGACAGGTAATATAACGTAAAAGAGAGACGATGTGCAAGGAGACTTAATGTCTCCCTCCGTTGTGGTGTAGTGTAGTATCGCGGCTGCTAGATCTTGACGAAGTTCCGCTGAGGACATACTGTTTCGACCTGTCTTAAGTCTTCCTTTCACTTAGCCACCCACTCTTCACCTCCTCGAGCTATCCTACCTCCTCTCAACCCTCCGTCCTTTTCATTCCCCTTAGTTTTGTTGATTTAATAATATTGCTTCGGTGAATTTCCAAGTTCCTTAAACCTCCTAGTCCCTGAATCTGTAGCTAGTGTTGGTATAGGTATAGGTGCTCTTGTGTTGGTGCTAAGTCCTCAAGACACACGAGCTTACGGATTATTCCTCCGATTGTGGTTACCCAAAGGTCATTCCGAGGTCGTGCTATCACACTATACATTTCACATTTAAACTCCAAATCCCCCGAGGACAATTATCTATAATTTATCATTTTCAATTTTAAAAAGTTTTGTCAATTTACTTTTGAATTGTCTGCAAACCTTGGAAACTCATTTCAAAATCAAATTATCTGAATAAATAAATAAAAATTTATTTCACTAAAAAATAAAATAATTTGATTTAGCCCTCAAGTAGGGCACTGGATATGAGATACCTGAAGGTTACTCCATATTTTTACGATTTTTTATGATTTTTCTTTTCACAATATTTAGAAAAATTTGTTTCTTCAATCAATCAATTTTTTTTTAGTGTACAACAAAAATTTTCATTTAAAATAAAATGTTATACTCAATTTTTCTGTTTTTTAGTAAACTGATATGATATGATATTGAAAAAAAAAAAAAATTAAAGCTCAATGACTGAGCCTTCAACCACATTGCAGTTTTATCGCATGACAATTAAATCCGATTTTTAAAATAATGGATATCCCGTCAACGTATTGCGGAAATGAACGAAAAACGAAATCCGATAAAACTGTAAATTAGTTTGCGCATGTTACTTACGGTGTTGGTAGATTTTTTTGTTATTTCAATAAAATTCAAATGTATTCGTATTCAAATGAGCTACTGGACCGTGAAAAACCGGTAACCTCTTGAGTCTGTGCGGTACGTGATAGGATGAAGCATCCACGAAAAAACTAGGACGAAGTAGTTGTCTAGCGGCATAAGTAGCACCAGTAGTATAAGTAGTACCAGAAGTGCATGGTAGTATAGTTGTATAGTACAACTACAGAGACACGAGATTAGAATTTTCAAAAAGTAAGTAAACATTCATGTACTTATATCTACACGTACATATACCGAGAGTTTATGCTCCGAGGCAGCATTTATTTATTAATGTTTTTTTTTTT